GATAGTTATGTTCTATGAAGTCACTGCAAACCCTGAATTAATAAATACTGAGCCATTGTTCTTAGAAGAAGTACAGGTTTTACAATCCTCTGGCCACAATATTTTCACCAACCAATCAATATATAATTTTGTTTTATATGTGTTTCCATCTAAAGACACTTAATGTATATTGTTAATTCATTAACATTGAAATAATGGCCAAGAGCATTCATTATAACTCATGCCTGAAAAAACTTATCTAATATTAATACATATATTTTATCTGTAAGCTACATTACAACCTTATTTTACTTAGGAACACAAGACATTACTTTAGTACTAGGCTTGGGGCCCACTATAAACAGTAAAATCACCAAAAGAAAGCACACGCATGCAAAAAAAAAAAAAAGTAGCCATAAATAGACAGCAAAAAAGGACATGTTTACAGTATAAAAGCTGAAACAAGATAGCCTTGCTTCAACTTTTTCGACCTCAGCTGGGAACAGACATGTTGGGCAACTCAAATTTTTGGCCATTCTGTATGTGTCACTGAATGACCACAGAAGCACAAGTGTTGAGTTTGTGGTTATAGAGAAATTTTAGCCAATAGGTGAATCTGCAAATACAACTCTGAGAGAATAATGAGGATCAACTCTATCTTGTATTTAGTTCATCCACTTCAAAATGTGTCTAATTTTATTTTATTTGGAGAGTTGGTATTTTGAAGTATATTACTTAACTTTTAAATATTTGAATATTTGTATTATCAAATTGTCCTTTCATTATTGGTATTAATATATAGCTTAATTCTACAGTGGTTGGTGAAAATATTCTGAACTATTTCAATTCCATAAAATATATTAAAGCTTGCTTTATAACCTAGCATGTAATTAATTTTAATAAGCAAATTCCATAGAAAAGAATGTGTATTTGTGTATTGGTAGTAAGCATGTTCTTTATATGATGGTTAGCTAAACACTATTTTATGATTCATTTAGTAATTATTCTAAGATTAAAATAATAGCCTTAACTTAATGTTGGCTAATATATTTTAGTACTTTACCATTCCTCCAAAATAATAAGACTTTAGAATGCCTTGAATCATTTTATTTCTTTCCCAACTTTTGTTTTATTATTGTCATGTATTTTTATTCCACTTTCATT